ATATTTTTCACCATGGTATAAATATCATTAGATGATTTGTCTGTTTAAATTTATACATCTTGCTTTTACTGAAAAATGTAAGATACTTATATTTCTTCTATCTTTCACTTTATATATGTTTTTAAGCATATTATAAAAGGCAATGCTTAATTTTTAATTTTATTTGATATTTTAGTGTAAACCAAAGTAGTACATCTAATGTTTATCTTAATACATGATGTTTTTCATCAAAATGCTTTATACTTATAAAAAAGAAGTTGAAATCAAGTGACAAAATAGAAAAATTTCTGTACAGTAGTACCTCATCCATTGTCTCTTGTTTTTTATTAGAAAAAATACTTATTGTCCATGCCTCAAGGACAAAATAATACCTAAATTTCTATAACTTTTCAGTCATATAGTTACCTAAGCTTTATTAAACCTGATTATATATCATTACTGTATATACTGTAGTTTATTATTACATTGTCTTTGTAAATGACACTGTTAATTATCTGCACTGATTACTTTTCATAATTGATTTATTAATAACAATTAGCTGTCAGGATTCTGTTTTATTTGAGTAATTAATTGAATAGCTGTCATCTATTTTTTTTAAAACATGAAACTATTCAGTTTATTAATGCATATCATTTGTCTAATCATTCAATGCATTTTGTATCAAATTTCTGAGTTAGCATTTTAAAATGCAGCAATCTGAACTTTATGTAAATTTACCAAATATAATGTTATTTATTGAAAACTGATATTTCATATCCATCTATGAGAATAATTTGTGTCCTCTACGTTTTCTTTCTTTTTTCATCAAGTAATTAAACCTATTTCATGTTATATCTATTTCTTTCATCAAATGGATGCACCTAAAATAGTTAAGATTTATGACAAGTTTTCAGCTATATTTTATTTTAAGTTGATGAATTCCTATATGAATTTGACCGTCCTGTCTGCAAACACCTAATCCGAGAAGCTACAAATTTTAGAACTATTAGTATTGATATTAGAGGCATTAACAATTAGGATAAAAATAAAAATTTAAAGAACAATACAGACAAAATTTTTTCCTAAAAATTTTTTAGTTAATTCTTCCTTGCCATAAGAAGAAAACACCCCTTAAAGAGAAGGAAGACTCCCAGCTCTAACTCTTCATGTGAGTAGAGGCTAAGGTGATCTGTCACTTGAACAGTGGCAAATACAGTTTAATCTTCAGGAAAATTGTGCTTTGTGGTAAATATAGTTGCCTGAAAACACATAGTAGAGACAATTCTCCTTTTACATGTGATACAAAAGAACAGCTACTGGGCCCCTGTGATGTACTGGACAATGAGCCAAAGACTTTATTCACATTAGCACAGTTAATTCTCGTATACTCCTGTGGACTCATGCTGCTGTCCACTGTATAGGGTAGGAAACAACCAGCCAAGTTCCTTACACTGTACGTGGTGGAGTGGGAACTGCTGATCTGCTGTCCTGCAAAGCCCAGACTCTTCCACCATGCCCTTTACCACGAGAAGAGGGAACGGAGTCTGCTCTACTGAGTGCGTGACAGGCTTATCTGTGACAATGAACTCTGTCCCAGAGTCAAACATTTCAGTGATACCATTATGTACATTATATGCGAGCACTTACTTTATAGGCGTTCACGTGGACCTGTGGCCAAATCCTATCAGATGGTCGACGTAATGCTGAATCTGCTATCCTTTAGAATAAGATTCTACATTAAAACCTCTCCTAACATTTACCTGTCAAATTTCCCTCACATTCCCCTTTCTTCTGAACATTGTGACTATTATTCCAATAAGACCTTTTCCTCCTTCTCCTCTATTGCCTTAGGAAATGCATGCTAACAATACGCACCTGTCACAACCAGTTTCGTTCCTCCACCGAAGATTTTCTGATCGTACCACAGTGATTCCACACATAGCAAAAACCTTAGATTAGATTAATTCTTTACGTTTTAGTGCCCACATAATGCCCTGGGGTTCTACAGAGACCAGGGTTCTGTCCTGGTTTATTTTGTTCACAACAAGTGCAGCTGCTGAATGTATCCCAAAACTGAACGTTTCTGTGCTTTATTCATCTTAAAATAACGATGTCACTATAAATCAACTCAACGTTGTTACCCACAGTAAAATGAAACCAAAATCAAACAAGTAAAAAGCAATTTGACTAAAAGTATTAGTGGAATACCAGAGGATTTTTCTTATCTTTACTTGCGTTATTATTAGCAGTTTTGTGCTCTGTGTGTTCCAAGTATTTTATTCTCATAGGATCAAATCTTGTCCATACTTTCCGCATTGGGGAGCTGCAGTTAGATCCCTGGCAATTCAGGTGGGAGGTGTGGTTCCTGAGCTCTCCATTTGCATCATCACAAGAAATACAGTTTTTACACATGCACATGCAAGCTTTAATAGGCTCTCATCTGTTTTTGCTGACCATCTAAAACAATCAAAGGGAGCCCTGGCTAATGCCTAATACATACAGTCACTTTGTAGAAATGCTTCACTTGTGTCTTCTAAACTAATGGCTCTTGTCCAACTAGCAGATCAACACATGTGAATCTCAAGCTTCATGCCAAAAGTTCAGCCTCCAAATGACTTTGGTCAGTTCATGCCAAAGCCCAGATTGCAACTCCTGGTCTGGCTCGTCCAGGCAGAATAACTTCAGAAACGGCAGAGAAATGACCAGACCTGCCTTGCAAAATGTTTGGCCACTTAGTTTGATCACTAAGGGCTCTCTGCCTGACCCTAAGTGCTGAGTTCCCCATCTGTGCCTGACATTGATGCTGTGAAGCCCACAGTACTGAGGCCATGGTGGTGAGCAGTGGGTTTGCTAGGCAGCTGCTTAACTTGATTTCCCAAGTGCATGCCCAAGACAATGTTCACTCTATATTTCACTTTCTATCTGAACAACTTGTAAATTGAAATCTTTTTAGAAATTAGTAGTTACAGCCATGTCACCTGGCCTATCAGGACATCTCACTGTAATAAGGGACCAAGCCAGGAGAGATTCCAAGAAGTTGAGCCAGCCCTTGCCCTGAGGCTTGGACCACCTGGGCCACTACTGCCCCTCCTTACTGCCCCCTGCAGAATGGAAAGAACTCACCTGTGAAAGTAATGGTGTACCTTGTGTCAGAACCAAAGCCTTGATGGTTCTGCCATTCAATTATTCATTGCCTTTAAACCCTTTCTAAAGCCTCATTTTGGTTTTTGCTTTTATTTTTCAATATTTATTTTTAAAAAACCCTAGAAATTGTCTACACTGACATTAAACAAAGACAAAGCTGACACATAATTACATTAGATCTGAGTGTTATATTTTTCAGGAATGTTGGGTTTTGTGCTTAGCAATACTCATACTGTGCATGGATTTTACAAGAATGACTACCACTCAACTTAAAGAGCCAAGACTGCCTGCATTTCTAGCAAAAACAGACTCAAGAACCGGTAGACTCAGTCCAAGCAGGATGTACAATAGCATTCCATGGCCTGGAAGCTTTGGGGTGTTGGACACATTTCTTGTCCCCTGCTTTATCACCAGAAGGAACTGAAGGATTCAGAAGGAGCTGACTTCAGTGAACCTTCGCTGGGAGAACGAATGAGAACATGAGGTCAGAAATCCTCACAGACTCTTTCCATAACCCTTGTACTGAAATAGTTCATGGAAGTTGTAAATTTCTATAAACTTGACCGTCTTCTGTCATTATTAAGACTGTCAGAATAGCACAAATTTTAACTAATCATGGCCTAACCCTGAAGGAGTTAGAGAATTATGAATTAGACATTCTCAATATTTTACAGTAATTTAACATAATGATTTACACATGTAATAACTAGAGATTGAATTAAAATGAAGAGTACAGGTTTTGCAAATTATTAGGAGGAAGGAGCAGTATATCATATTTCACAATACAGAAAGAATTATTGAACTCTACTTTGACGATTCTCACTTAAAAGACTGGCAAAACTGACCTCAAAGTAAGAACTTATACCAGGGCTCTGTAAAAATAGTCCTCAAAATATTTTAATTTCTAGCTTGACTGCATCATTTGCGAATAGGTGCTTCTGAATGCAGAATTTTAAATTGCTTTCTTACAGGGATGAAAAAAAAAACAACACACTTTCAAAGATGTTTGGGTTCCACATCCACTGTTATTGCTATTCCTGTTCTCAAATGAGCAGCACAGCAGAGTCAGATAAGGCTGATTGCATATTGTTGTTTCGAAAAGCATCCTGTTCTCCTTCATTACTGGGAGGGCAGCAGCAATAGCACATAGCTTACCAGGAGGCAACTCCATGAGCTGAGCCTCTCATGCAGATACGGTGATCTTGCCTGGCCAATCACACAGCACATGAAGTCTCCAAAATTTCAGCATCTCCAGGGCTTGACGCCATGGCTGCCAGTTTCATAACTTTGCCCTGGCCCTTTCCCTCTTGGGGTGACTTGGAAGCCCTTGAACACATGTTTTATGGCGTGTAGTCAGTTGAGGGATTCCTAAGAATGGGGCTCATAAACTGTTTCCCGCCAAAGAAGTAGTTATTAGAAGGTGTCAAAAGAAAATAACAAGAATAAGATCAGAAAAAGAAGAGAGATGGCTTCGTGCCCACCAACTGCTTTTCTAAGCTCCCAGAAGAAGAGTTCTGAGAACTAAGCCTTTGAAAAAGATTTCCAGGTGTTCCTTTGTGTTGAAACTGCTTTGTTTTGCATCAGAACAGGGAGCTGCCTCTTCTCACCAACACCTAACTTTTCATCAGCACCTTAGCAATATATTTCTGAAAAAAAGAAGTGCTTCCCTTTAGTAACTGAAAATGTGAATGTGCCCACATATTTCAGAAATGTGAAATATGGTCTCCACTTTCCACAAAGTCACATGATGATTATTTAGAGGAGCAGTCCCAAGTGAACAAATAAGCTCTGTGATGACCTAGTTATCTTCCCTGGAATAACAGGATAAAATTGCAGAAGTCTAGCTCTTCTAAAATTGTAGACTCCTTGTTAAAACTAGAAAGTGGGAAACATTCCAGTCCTCTGATATACTAAAAGATAAAGGCCCTTGGAAACAGTTCTGTGTTTATATGTGACTTATCTCAGAGACGAGAGAAAGTGATTCCCAGAACTGACCTGCCAGAGGACCTGTGGAAAAAACTACCATCACAGAGTGGCCAATGCCCTCTGAATTCACACACACACTGACTGCCATTTCGATCAGAATCATAACCAGAATTTTAAATTTTTGTTCTGGGGTGTGAGTGTTGGTGGTGGGCAGGTAAGTGAATTTAAAATTCTATAGGGATACATAAACATAACAGAATAGAAATCATTATTTTTTTAAAAAAAGTGAATAGATATTTGGCACATAGATTTTATTTATTTTTATTTATTTATTTTTTTAGGCATATAGATTTTAGTACTTGTTATAAAGCTACTGATTAGTAGGTCAATGATGTAAGCATACTAGAATAACTAAAAAGCACAAATATAACTAAAATATGCCAAAGTGTATAGAGATTCAAAATATTTATGGCATTTTTAATTGTAGGGGAATGACAGGTCATTTTATAACTGTAATTAGACAATGATTATCTGTTAGAAAAAACTATTTTCAAACAGTTTTTTTATTTTAGCAAAGGGCCTACAGGGTGCTCAGGGTCTCACTACTACTAGATCAGACTTGTAATGATCTGCCTGTTTACAGCCTCCCAAGAGCTAGGATTACAGGGCGCACCACCACACCCAGTCTGAATTGCCATCTCATCGTGCCCCGGGGGTGGGGCCAGCATGGCAAGTCTGGGGATCAAACTCCAGCCCCTATGCCTGCTTACAGGCGCTTTAATCCCCTGAGCTATTTGGCTGACCCCTCAAACAGATTGAAATTAAAGCTGCAGCTGGACATGGAGGTGCATGTCTCTAATGCCAGCCCTCAACAGGTAGAAGCAGGATGATGGCTATGAGTTTGAGGCCACCATTGGCTACAGAGTGAGTTCAAGGCCAACCTGGACTGTACAGCAAGACTGAACAAAAGTGAAATAGCAATCACGAAGCTACATGTGTGTCAGGAAGGACATATACAAGAACCTCTGCATCTATTGGTTAGAGGAGCATAAGGTGGGAAAGGGGCAGAAACTCACTAAGCACATTAATCTTTAAGAAACAACATGGACAAAAACAAAACAAAACAAAACAAAAAAACAAGGAGCCAGGGAGATGGCTCAGTGAAATAAGTGCTTCTCTGGCAAGCGCAAGGTCCTGAGTTCAATCCTCGGTTCCGCAAAAACAAACAAACAAACAAACAAACAAACAGAAACAACATGGAGAATTTTCACTTTCAAATAAATGTGCATTTTTTTTTCAGTACTGAGGATTGAACTCAGGACCTTGTGCTTGCCAGGTAAGTGCTTATTCTGAGCACTTATACTGAGCTATCTCCCCAGCCCTAAATGTGCATTTTCAAATAAATATTTTTAAAAGGATACACAAGGAGCACTAACTGAATGCTTCAGGGAGGAAGAGTAGATCCCAGGGCAATGAGTTCTTAGGACTTTGGGCATCCATCTCCAGGGCCAGTTTCTTCAGCTCCTACTGGAAATTCTCCAGGGACTCTCAGCCTCTCAGTCTCTGGTGTTGCATCCTTGATCTATCCTTTCCTGGGTTTCTATCTTCCTGATGGGGCAGCAACAGGATCTTCCACTTCCAGTCACATAGATATCCATTATGGACTCTTCTGATGAGGATCCTTTCAGGTTACCTAATAAATCTTCTTTACTAATTTTACATGTATTTTCTTTTCTCTCTCTTTTAAAAAAATGTATTTGATTGTTGCAGGGTCTCACCATGCAGCTAGGAATTGTAGTGATCCTCCTGCTTTCAACCTCCCCAGCTCTGGGATTACAGGCATGCACCACTATGCCCGGACTATGGCCAGCTCAGCCTGCCCTGGGGCTGGGGCTGGCACAGCATGTAGGGATCCAACCTTGGTCTGTGCATTTGCATAAGCTTGCCTAAGTAGGCACTTTAGTCAGCTGAGCTATCTCACCGGCCCTGTACATGTATTTTCTATTGATTCTATTCCTCTAGAGAACCCTAATAGAGTTACCATCTTGACAAAAGTAATAATATACACATTTTTTCACACTAGTTCATCTTGTAGAAATGTTGATGACTTTCAATGCAATCTGCTCCACCTGTAAGTTACTCTTTAGAGCTGAAAAAGGAACAGATTATTTTTATACCACAATAAATACATGTTGTGACATGTGCAAGAGATAAAATTCATTCATTTCTTCTATCAACCACTTACTGCCACAGACTGGCATAATTTTGATTTCACATATGCCATCCCTTATGTAATATCAGATATGTGCTACAGAGAACTGCGGTGGATCATTGTAGAGTACTATGGGAGAGGCTAGGTTACTTCACCTTCAGGTAAGTTCTCCTGATAAGCAGTTTTCCCATTAATTGTCCTTCTGAGATTGATGATCTATTCACACGGGGTTTCTTCCACATTGGGTGTTCATCATGGCCCTCCACCTATAGATATGTCTTGATTTATACAGCACCCATAGTCAACCACACCCATGGAGCACATGTTTCTTTTGGTAGACAAAATGTGTATTTTTTTTTTTGTTGTTCTGAACACGGATTCGTGAAAGGCAATAAATGTGTGGTAGAATCTATTTTGGGGAACTAACACTCACCCAACTCTAAAACCTCCTTTCTCCCTCTTCCTGAATAAAAAGTCCTACTCCTGGGCTAACTAGTCATGGAGGAAAGAAAATTCATAATATCATGTGCTGTCCACATATCTATCTTTTTCAACTTCACCCATAAGTGGTTATAATTCTTGAACATCAGATGAGAGACTATGCTGGGAGTCTGCAACATCCCAGCTCCTATTCTTTCCACCTGCTTCATAGTGGCTGGAATCAGACAGAAGGTGGAGCAGAGAGTTTCCAGGCAAACATGAGATCTGTATAAAATACAGAGTCTGAATCTCCCCTAGTCATATAAGATATTGAGGGTTTGTTTCTGAGAATTACAGGGTTATCAAACCAAATAAAAAAGAGGACAGGCATGGTGACACATGCCTATGTTCCTAATTACTTAAGAGGCTGAGACAGGAAAATTGCAAATAGGGAAACTTAGCTAGACTTTGTATACACATGAGGAAATAAAAGAAGAGGGCTGAGAACATAGCTCAATAGTAAACCACCTCTATGTCCAATCCCTGGTACTGCAAATAAAGAAACAGATGAATAAAGACAGCAGTTGAAATTCCTTATTTTCACATTCCAAGAAACAGTGTGGTAGTACATAGTACTCCAAAACAAGAGTAAGCAGAGTGCAGATAATAATTGCTATGGGTTGTGTCTGGATGTTCACCTAAAGCCTCTTGCAGTCATGAGTGAAAGGCTCTGCTTTGAGAAGACAGCTGCACAGCCCCATGCTCCAGAATGGTGCTGGCCTAGGAACTTTGTTCCCCTGAATTTAATTCAGTGTTCAGTGATTTGGGCTCTTCATGACTACAGGCAAGAGACAGGGAAGCCTGGCTACTGTTACTTCTTCCAGCAGATCTTGGCATCATCCACATAGTGCTGGTTCTATATGCATGCAGAATGCAAGAGTTGTAGGGTCAGCCACCCACACAGATTTAAGAAGAAGGCCTGGGAGGCCAGGTACTGTGCCCCTGAGAGGACAATGTGTGAAGATGTCAGTGTGAAGCTAAGAGTGCAGTGGAGACTGCAGAAGTTTGGAAAAGCCAGAAACATGTATCATTCAAGGAAAGCCTCAAGAATGGAGCAAAGAGAGCTTAAGAGGGAAGCCATGGAAGCTACAACCACCAGCAGTGCTATAGGGCTAGAGCCATGCAAGGCCTTTGGAGTTCACAACTTGCCACAGATTGCTTCATGTGCTGCACATAGAACTACAGAACTTAATTTCTCCCTGTTGGATTATGGACTTGCTTTGGTCCCATTGCCTTGTATCCCCCTGTATTTAACTTTTGGAATGGAAATGTCTATTTTGTGTTGTTGAATGTTGGGAGTGTTTCATTCTCTTTTCATCTGTACATGGACTTACAGCTAAGAATTTGCCTTAAAACTCAGAGGAGACTTGGGACTTCGACTTCTCAGCAGCGCTGAAACTATAAGGACTTTGGAAACTCTTACAGATGGACTAAATGCCTTTCCCATAAAGGGATGTGCCTGACTCTTTGGGGGGTCGGTCGCAGGTGGAATGTTGTGGTTTGTGTGTTGAATGTCTTCTTAAAGATTTATGCGGTCATGTGGAGAGCAGGGTTTTCAGAGCATTTCTCTCTTCTCTTGTTACTTTTGCTGCCTTCCATCACTATGAATTATTTGCCCCTCTGCCCTGCCATCCTGCCTTAAAGCCAGCT